AGTTACAGAAGCCAGGCCTTAATAATACAATCTGTAAGCACAATTAAAATTTAAACAGGTAATTTCTAGAGTACAGCTGTTCAGCATGAGGCACCTTGTGCTTTTGCAAGCATGTATACATTTTAGTAATTAAAAGGTAGAGGATCGGTAACAGAGCCCTGTGGAACTCCGCGACCTGTGAGAAACTGAAGTGTTCTGGTGTTTGTTACTCACAGTCATCCTACTGGTTGCTTCACCTGATCTCATCTCTCTGCAGTGCGAGGTGTGTGAGGAGGACTGCTCTAAGCCCCGCCCATCCGGCTGCCCTCACTCCTGCCCCCGCCCCTGTCACCCAGGCGCCTGCCCCCCCTGCAGCCAGATGATCCGCCAGCGGTGCCACTGCAAGATCAGCCTGCTCTACGTGGAGTGCACGTCAGTACAAACACATGATTTATCATACCTGAACAAACAAAACCAGTCACTCACTCCATGATGTAAACAAAGGCAGAGTGATGGCATGACTGGAAACATGAACGGCCTCGTCTGAAATGACAAAGCACGATAAAGTCACGACTGCTGTGGCAGACTCATCAGAAGCTTTTTCTTCTCTTAACTTCCTCTTTTTAAATCAAAGCGGAGCTTCTTGCTGCATAATTTGAAGCAGAAGGAACAAAAATGCTTGAGACCAACAGGATGGTCGATGTTAATGCGTTTAAAGAGAAGTAATATCAGTGTTTTATATGGAGAGGGAGCCCGCTGTCAGACTGCAATGATGAGTAAGAGCAAGTCTCGCGTCACCCATCGTTCTTTGTTTTGCTTAGAAAATGTGCGACAGTGATTTATTAAAACGTGGAGCTGGATCAGGGGAAGCGACAGGCCCTGTGTCGCGCTCAGACGCCGTCCAGCTGCTGCAGATAGCTTTTTAGGTCTGCCACGTCTTCTTTTGTCCTCCACGTGTCCAGTTTCCTTCTTTAAGGACACACTGTGCAGCATGCTGAGATATGCCAAGCTTTCAGCTAATAGCACTTTGGGAATCACCTTGTTGGTACAAAAATCCCATTTGATGTCCGTAAAACTGTTTTATCTTTGGCATTTTTCATAGATTCAACTAAAGGAATGAGAGCGAGTGATGTGTGTTTGTTTTTTAGGGAACAAATTTGGTTCTTTGTTAGGTTTTCTGTTATGTGCAGCCGCAGCACTGGAATGATTTACAGAGCAGTGGTTTAACAAATAAGAAACATTTCTGGGAAGGAAAAACTGCCTTTAACAGGATGAAACCTCCAGCAGAGCCAGACTCAGGGAGGGGGGCATCTGTGAGAGGGGTGAGGACGAAGACAAGCTGAGGGAGAGAGCCGGGGATTAATAGAAATGAATAATTCAATGGACAGAGGTGGCAAACACACAGTGAGGAAAGATGAAACACCCGGTGTACACCCAGGGTGCTCTAGTGCTACAGTTCTCTAAGCTCATCAAGATCAGATGTGGTCTGATTATTTAAGACCTTTCATTGCTTCTTTAAACCTGACAACAAAGTTTAAGACTTGCACAGGTCTGTAACTCCGTGGTCTGACTTATATGTCAATAGAAGATTTAATTGAAACACTCTTGCCTACCTTCATGTGTAAAATAATGTCTGTAAGAGTGGAGGCGTGTTTGTTTAAGAGGAAACTGAAGTCCTTTTTAAAGTCTGGCACATACTCAGACACTCGGCGACTAATCTGGAACATCTCCCGGGTCTTCGGTGGCCCCAAGGTGCAAAACACAACAACAGAACAAGTGTGAAGTGGCTTTCTGTAGGGCCCAACTCACTTCCAGCTGTGGTTTCCAAACCGTGCCGTGAGGCAAGTCCAGGCTTGTTCCAGCTGGATGTTTTTAACTGCGACATCGAGCTTCACAAGACGTTCTGAACAGTCGGTTCACTGCATCAGGACGATGCTGTCGAGGGACGGGCTGGATCGCCCAGCCTTCATTCAGAGGCAATACTCAGAGAGAGATCTGCGTCTGTCTTGTCAGCATGCGAGTTATAAACTAATTCAGGCTGTGAAGAAAAGGCCCGGCAATGCGTGTGAGGCTGTTTTCTGTTGATATAAACACGTGTGTGGACAAGTTTGAGACCCGCTGGCCTGCACATTAACACGTCTGAAACACGAAGGTCAAAGGTGAGTGCTGCTCAGGTGAGGCCTGGATCAGTGAAGCTGTGTCAGTGAGCTGGCTTTAAAGAGCGTCGCTGCTCCAGGTGTGTGTCAGAGCCCGTCTGCAGGTAGCGACGCTCAGCCAGTGTCACTGTGCAGCAGCATAAACACAGAGGCTCCTTATCTGCTGCTGTGAGCTCCGGGCGATCAGCAGCTCATCACTAATAAAACGTGTGTGAGTGAGACAAACGTGCTACTGCTGACCGATCGCTCTCTCTGCAGGAAGCTGACCGCAGCCGACGAGCAGACCAAGGAGGCCCTGAGCTCCTGCAACAACCAGTGTCCCAAAGAGGTATGAGCGCCGACCCCACTCCATCTGTGGTGTCCTCCCTAAGGGCCCCAGTGCATCATGGGACTAGTTTATCAGCCTTTGAGTGCCATTGAAGTGTGACCGCTCTGGAGGTCCCAACTCTCCATTCTTGCTACGCTCCTTTCCTCTTTTCTTCTTCTGCCCGCCTCCTGTTTTTCTCCCTCCTCCTATCAATCGTCAATAATCGTCAGTGACACAGCAGAAGTAACACAACGCCGTCCGCTCAGCGCCATCGCTCTGATCGCTTTAGCCGTGTGGCGCCAGCTGAACACCAACAGTCTCGCTCTCGTGCTTTCCTTTCACCTGGGAGTGATTTAGTGTTTTCATTCTGCGACTTGAACACACACAAGCACAGTTGAAGTAAAATGTTTGAGCAGTGCAGTGGTTCGTGTGCGTCCTTCTGTCAGAACACTGTTTTCATTCAGCTGTAACTTCAGCTCTGAAGAGCCAAGACACACTCTTACGCACGCACGCACACAGACACACACACGCACACAGACACACACACACACGCACGCACACGCACGCACACACACGCACACAGACACACACGCACGCACGCACGCACGCACACAGCAGGAATAACAAACATGGAGCGGCCGCAGCGCTGTGGTGTTTAGACTCTCTTCTTCTGCAGGTTTCAGCCTCTCAGTTCGATTTTCTCTCCGTTCAGTTGGCTGATGTGAAAAATGATTTATCCCAAAATGTTCCCGTGAAGTAAGAAACATAAAGTGTTTAAAGACCCTTCAGGTGTTTATTTCAGCGTGTCGATCGGTGTAACCCTGTGAAGTCCTGAAGCAGTGGACGTGTGTTTTCATAAATCATTACAGAAGAAAAAGAAAACATTTCTTTTTTTCATAACGTGCAGTTAAAGCATGAGGATTTGAGTTTACCTCCACATCAGGTCTTCTAGGAACTCTATGAACAGTGTTTCCTCTCTGTCTGTGCACCCAGTGTGTGTGTGTGTGTGTGTGTGGGGGGGCGGGCATCTTTGAGCCTGTAAAGGCCAATAAGACTGCAGCATGCATGCAAGATGAATTATCATCCTCATTATTATTTTTATTATCTAAGCTTCATCCTGTACAACTTTCATCACCTGATCTGAGCTCCTCCCTGTGCACTGCATTGCTACCAGCACATGTCAGACTGTTGGCCACTGTGTGGCTGCTGCTGTCAGCATTACAAATGTCCAGGTGACACTTGAGGCATCTGGCACAGAGGTGGCGTCTGTGACGCTTTCATGAAAACAAACTCCAGCTGATGGTTCTTAAGCTTCAGTGTTTTCTGTGCTGCTAACCATCAAAGACGTCAGACGCTGGCTTGGACTTCGCCGGGTTAAAAGAAATAAATTCAGAAGTCGGCTCGTCTCCTCTGGAGATGTTGAAACTCTTCACAATCATTTCAAAACAAAAAAGAAACCACAAAAACACGTGTTTGAGTTTCAGCCTTTAGTTTATGTGACATTGCTGAGCGTCCGATACAAGCTGCAGTCCAGCTGCTCGGAGCTAAAGACTGACGGTGGTGACGTTTCCTCCACCGTGAAAGGATCAAAGCGACCGTGGGGGCGGAGCCAGTGTTTCATTTCACTGTTCGACGGTTGCTTCATGTTTCTCTTGGACAGAGCTGAAGTTTGCTCTGCCTCGCTACAGCAGCAGCCACAATTAATCTGTGTGTGTGTGTGCGTGTGTGTGTGCAGCTGAGCTGTGGCCATCGCTGTAAGCAGGTGTGCCATCCAGGTGTGTGTGAGGAGACGTGTCAGCAGAAGGTGAAGCTCCGGTGTCCCTGCAAGAGAATCAAGAAGGTAAAACCAAAAGTAGCTCCGCACTGTGGCCACTTTATTAGGAATACCTGTGCAGTGTAAGTGTTGATGATAATGTAACTGTGGACATCTCAGGATCAGAAGGGTTGAATCTCTACTTCTAATGACATCAGTCATGATAGAGCATCAGTAAAGTCTCATTCAACACTTTCTTCAAAGGGACTTAAAGTGGAAATACTATAAACGATTCCTTCATGTTTAATTTACCCCAGAAAAAGCAAAAATGATCACTCATTAGATTCGTGGTTGGATAGACGATTTCACTGGTGGTGTTATGGATGTTTTGTCTATATTTAACTTTGAGGAGGGTGTCTGGTATTGCGAGTTCAGTTAAGGCTCACTCTGTCACTCTCAGCAGTTTAGGAAACAGTCACAACCTCTAATCTACTGACAACATATTTCCAACAGTATTTCCTACATTAAAAAGGTAAAAACATTCACATTTGGATGTTTGAGGGGTCGACAGTGGAGCTGTAGAGGATTCAGGGTCACCTGACCCAGCCCCAACTATGTGCTTTATCACAAAGGAAAGTTTGAAGCCTAATCTTACAAGTAGAGATAGTGTCTGTCTCCTGAATCCAAATGTAATGTGATCTGACTTCAGTGTGTTCAAATAAGCGAGAGACTTTTTTTCCAAAGGGAAGTTTTGTTTTACACCTGCAGAGACAAACACATTTACTCTCTGCAGCATCTGGTATGAAATATGGATAAGTTGGTTTTTCCAGGCATAAAACAGAACCATTTCCACACTGCAGGACTCTGACATTAGCTGTGTGTGTGTGTGTGTGTGTGTGTGTGTGCGTGTGTGTGTGTGTGTGTAGGAGGTGCTGTGCTCGCTGTCGGCTCAGTTTGCTGTTGAGTGTGACGACATCTGCAGAGAACAGCAGAAGAAAGTCAGCCAGGTATAAACACACACCTGTACAGACTCTGAGTGGTTCACACCTGGACACACAAACACTGACACTCTGCGTGTGTTTGTGTGTTTAGCTGAAGGAGGCGGAGCAAAGAGCGGCTCAGGAGGAGGAGCAGAGGAAGCTTCAGGTGAGTTTCATGCTGTTCCACCTGCACCATGTTTTAGCTCTGGATGAGGTTCAGACTTTCAAACGTTCATTTCAACATGTAAAGCTAATAATAACTTCGAGTGATTAATGACGGTGGATGTTGAATTGATGTGGTCGGAGTCGGTTTAAACTGTGTTATTGTGCAGGAGGAGCTGGAGGCGTTCGAGAAGCGGCAGCAGCGAGGAGGGCGGAGGAACAAGAAGCGGGGTAGAAGGGAGGAGGTGGACGACGAGCGCTCAAAGGCGGCAAGGTGGTGGAGGAGGTGTGCCGCCTTTGCCCTTGTCCCGCTGGGCGGCGCGCTGCTGTCTGCCGCCACCTACTACTACCTGCAGGAGTCGGCCTGAGCAGACGGCGGCGTGCAAGCTTCTGTTTCCTGCCGCCATTCAGACGCTCGCTGCGACTCTTCCCTTGCGAACCTTGTGTTAACCGTAGCAGCAGTGGCTTTAGGTTAGGTTGGATGGTTAGAACTTTGAACACAGCGCTGCCTCATGTTTCAGAACAAAAGGAAGTTTCTCCTTTTTCATTCAGTGAAAAGTTTGATTGATTTTTAGTCTGAAAGCAGTGAAGAAAAACGTTAGAATAGCTGCTTTAAGTGTGACTCTGACTAAATTGTTGTGAGAGATGAGCTACGTGTGGTTTGTCACTCCGTCACATAAAGTAAGACTTTGTGACCATGGTAACAGGCATGACTGACTACGTCTGATCAAAACTTATGGGAAAGTGATTTTCCCCTCTGCTACCTACCAAATATCTCAATTATGTGAAAAAAGGTCAAATTATTTGGCCTGATCCTGATCCAGTGGTTCCCAAACTAAGCAGCACTGCAGTTTCATAATGTCCCATGAGGTTCCAGTGAGCCAGTCCTTTGTTTATTTGTCTAACATTACAGAAATAAACATGTTTACAATCTGATATAAATATATTTTTGCGTAACACATGTACAGAAATGCAGTAACCAACAAGGTAATTGAGAGTATCAAAAACCTGAAACCTGTAAAAATAACCTTCAGTGGAAGAAGGGGGCGGGGCTAAACAGTGTTTGTGGAGTTCCACATGGCTCTATCATAGATCCTCTACTTTTTATTCTGGTTTAAATTATATTCTTGTTAAGTATGCTGTCTTTACCCTTTCAGCACAACTGTAAGGTTGTTGGCTCTTATGATGTCTCACCTGTTTAAAGGGTTGATGTTTGCATTAGTGGGTCGTGGTCTCTGTGGGACCTCTAGGCTGTCTTTATGCTGTTGGAGCCTTTGGAGACTGGGTCTGTTTCGTGGTGGAGGTTTAACTGGGACAGAAATAAAGATTTGGGAACCACTGGGTTGGTCTAGTTTCATCATCAGTTTCATGCACACTGACATGGAGCAGTGTTAGATCAGGCAGGCCATGAAGTCAGCTCATGCCTTACTGCACATCAGTGTGCGGCGATATTGAAACTGCATACATTAGCTTCTGTGTCTAGAAGCTGCTTTGTGCCCACCTGCAGACCAGCTCCTGCTGTCCTGCTGGGTGTCTTCACTGATGTGTGTGCATGCCTGCAAAGAAAGCATGCACACATGAAACTGAGGTTGTAGTAGAGAGACTGATGCTGCAACAACAACACATCCTAATGATTCCTGTTTTCATCCTGGTAAACCTCTAATCAACCTTTAATATTCTCCATAATTGTTTTTTAATGTGTTTCTAGTTCAAAATGAAAATAAGAGATGAACATTTTGACGCTTAAGTTGTAGTAATTGATATCTTTGGTTCCCTTTTCCTCATTAATGTACCTTCATTATTCCCCCTAATGTGTAATCTTTATGTTTGTGTAAGTTTAAAGTACAAAATGAACAACAGGAAGTTTCTGACTGGAAAAATCTGAAATAAATCTAGAGTCATTTTTGTGAGGAATCCATCAGATACTGGAACTCAACTGTCTAATATTCATGCTGAAACGTTTCAATTGTTTTGATTTTGATTTAAAAATTTTCTTTCATATTTTTCATTCTTTTTTTCCTAAAGACTTAAAAAAATAAATCGAAATGAAACAAAAACCCCTGTGTTCATTTTCCTAATTGAGCTTCTTTGTAACCTTCAGAATTCTGTTAGGCAGACCACGCCCACTCTTCAAACTAATGCTGAAGTATGAACGCCAGTTCTGCTGTTTCAAAAACATTCCCGTTATAAGGAAGTCAACAGGAAAATGCCTCTTGGCTACTCTGTTGTTCAAAGTCAGATCCACCGCTCGCTCATCACATACGGTGTGAAATCACAGGAAAAACAAACTAATGGGCTGCGTCACCGTGGTTACACCCATTTATGTTTGTATTAAGCTTCTCAGAGTAATTAAAACCACCTTCAGCTGCAATATTAAAGCGACGCAAATGTTAAGATATCAAAAATTATGATCTCGTCACATCACAAATATGAGTTGAGTACAATAAGTACTGCTGTATATCTTCATCCTACAAGTTGTAGGATTATGACTTTTCAGCATCAAAATAAATGTAAATGTCTTCTGTACACACACTGTACATAAATGATGGACACTGTGATGTCACTCATTGGTTAATGAAGCCTCAAGCTGCCTTGAGAAGTTGGAGGTGGTGAGAGAGGGACGTCGTGAGGCCAACGACGCGTCGTGCAACGAGCACACTCTCTCTGAACTTCCTGCTTCACTTAGTTTGAGCTGAATACCACAACCGATAAACTTGTGAAATCATTCAGACTTAATCAGGTCACTGAGTAAAGGAGCAGCGTTCAATAAGCACAAGTCTTTCTGTTCTCCAATCAGAAGGTTTGATGCACTTGTGTGCTGGCTTCAGTTCAGAAACAAAAACTATGTCCATCACTTTACACCAACCACCTTCTTTTTTTTGGTTAATGTTCTGACTTCCTGTGAGCCCCTCTCACTGAAGCTTATGTGTTGAATGTTTACAGAAGGAGGCGCTCCATCCATGGTTAAAAGCATTTCTTCCCCATCTGAGTTTGCAACAGCTGGTGACAAAATCACCACACAACAGATTTATCTGCAACATTGTAGTTACATTATAGAAGATCGTAACTATGACTACGACCATCAAAGTCATCAAAAAAGAAACATTATTACAAGTTAGCATCATGAATACGTTACATGTAGCATTTAAAACATTAAGCGAGCACAGACAGCCTCTGTGGGGTTCCACTCCTCAGTGGTGGGTCACAGCTCTGAAAAACTCCTGGAAACGCCCCTGCTGTTTAAACTGGGGCACCTCTTAATACTCTTAATGCACCTGTTTACCTCCATCCTATAATAGTAAACTCCACCCACCTCATACTCTCTATGCTGCTTCTGTTTGTCTCCAGGGCAGACCCATCTCCACCCACCCATCCACCCTCTCCCTGCCACTTCCCCAGGTGGATGCAGATGTAACCAGAGAGTTCAGAGTCTGATTTGTGTTTGTATTCCTGACAGAACTTTCGGAGGTGTCTTGCACCCGTTGCGGGTACCCCCTGCTGAGGAGCGCACATGTGCGGCAGCAGCTTTGAAGCTGGCGTTCAGGGCGGCACGAGGCTCCAGCCCTGCACCTGAATCCAGGAGCTTTAATCCCACGTTAAGACCTCCTCACGTGGGCACGACCTGAGCTGTGTGACAGTAAACAGCGGAGTGGGAGGAGACAGGGTAGGGGCGGAGCCAGCGTGTCTCGTGCCCGGTTAGTTAGCGGAGCAGCTCGCGGGCAACAGACAGAGGGATGGTCTCGCGCTCGGCGCTGGGCAGCAGCAGGTCATGTTGTCCGCGCGGCTGGAGACCTGCCCGCGTGTCACCTTCAGCGGAGCGGGAACTGCGGCGGTGAGTGCCCCCCTCGCTCTCTCTCTCTGTGTCCCCGCTGTCTGCGGAGCTCTCTCTACCTCTGTCCCCGCTTCTGTTGCTGTCCTTGGTGTCCGTCCTCTGTCCTCTCCGCCTCTCTGTGCTGCTGCTGCAGACTCTTCTTATTCTGCAACACTTCAAAGATATTTCAAGGCTTTAATCAGAGAAGCGTCAACAGAAAACTGACGCAAATATGTTTTTATTTCTGTTTTATTTCAGCCAAATCTCATTGAGTCATCTCTGTTTGAAATAACCTGTCACAGAAATAATTACAGATTTATTTTCTGTTATAAAAATCTATCAGCTGCTTAGCTTTTTTATGTTATCGTCACATTTGTGCAAAAGTCAGTGCACTTTTGTCTCCTGCTGTAACATTTACCTGAGGGCACAGGTGTGCTCAGGAGCATGAAGCATGTAGGAAACAGGATGTTGTTCCAGTATCTGACTTTTAATGTCGTGTAGTGATGTAGTGATGTCCGTCTGTGTAGAGTTTTCAGCGAATGTGAGCTCTGATGGTTATAAAACTGCACCCAGAAAACGGCAGCTACACTTTCATTTCTTTATTAATAAATTTAATTTCTTCTTAATAAACTTCATTTCTTTTCTCAATGACACCTTAGATTTGATCATGTTTGGGTGATTCATGGATCTCTGTTTATTCATAAAGACTTTGATTTATTTTGATGTAAAATTTAAGAAGTCATATTAATTGTGGCTCCAGCTGAAGCTCCTCGGGTGGCTGACGCGTCTCCGTTTCTACAAGATGATCCAGAAAACAGCTGAAAGTTCACACACACGCTCAGCTCTCAGACCTGATGATGTGCACTCGTTTACCTGCTAAACACGGTCGTCACCGTCCTCCTGATCAATACATTTGTGATGTTTAGGAGACTAAATGATTACAAACTTAGTTATTAACAGATAGTTGTAGTGCTGGAAGAATTAGAGCAAGTTTAATAACTACAGCTAATAATTAAAATAATCACGTAGTGATTTACAAAACAAAACAAACAGTTATTATTTTGACTCTTTTTCTTAAATAAAACATTATTAAGATTAAGATATAATGATAATGTTTATAATGTTTGTTTATGTTGTGTGACAGTAAACTGGGTGTTTTTGATGATATAAATATATCAGGCATCAGAAAATATCAGAACCAATAAATATGAACAGTTTTAAGAATTTACTTTATTAATGCCTGAGGATTGATCAGGTAGGCTTGGGGCTTAAGAGGTTAATGCCTGAGGATTGTGTGATTTCAGTTGCCCCAAGACATACGAACAGTAACCGACTGAAATAAACAAAATACAAATAAAATTACAAAATATATACAAATAGCTCAATTCTAAATATGTGTTGCAGAGATTAAATATATATGATTCACATCGTACTCCAAGCTGTTGTTATTCTGATCTGCTCCTTACTTAATTTTACCCTTCAAAGTAAAAGTCCTCGCCTAAAAGTCTGTGGTGTAAGATGTACATAACGTGCATGTTTGGTTTGTACTTTATTTAACCCAAATAGTGAGCTTCTTGTTATTATCATGCAATAAAAAGAAAATGATCCAAGCTGCCGCTTTCACACACTCTTTCAGATGCACATGCACGGCAGACGTTGTGGTAATGAATCAGCCAATCAGCACATTATACAGAGCAGCTCCACAGAGAGAGAGAGGGTGGTGCAGTGAGCCGTATTTAAGGCGGGGGGCTGCTGTGTGGTGTCAGGTGTCGGCTCGTTGTCATATCTCCTCAAAAATAACTTCGGCGTGTCCAACGGAAACTCTGAGAGGGCAGAAACACCCCGAGCACCCACACCTCTGCTCTCTGTAAAAATAACCTTCAGTGGAAGAAGGGGCGGGGCTAAACAGACAGTATAGAGCCAGAAGCCTCCTCTTTTGTGCTCTGATAACCTGGATCCTGGTGTTTTATGAGTCCTCTGAATGTCTCTCTGTGTCCCACAAAGAATCTGGCTCGAGGACCCCAGGCAAGGATGGGCGGGGAGGCGTGTCCCCACAAGCTGGGCTCCACCAATCACCTTCGGCTTCTCCTCTACATCCTGATTCCAACCGTGAGCCTGCTGGCCGGCCTCCTGCTGCTCGTCCTGGTCCTCACTGGTAGAGACACACACACAAACACACAGTCTGGCTGATGACCTCTGAGGTCAGAGGTGTTCTCAGTGACCTGACAAAGACCCCACCCTTCACTTTCAGTCTGGACACGACCCTGATGTCACTCCATCCCCCTCCTTCTCTGTCCTCTAATCTCCACCCGTCCTTTGTCTCTTTCCTCCCTTTTTCCTTCTTTTTCCATCCCATTCACACCATCATTCCTTCTTTTTTATTTGTCTTTTATTTCATTATTTCTCTTTTTACGTTTCTCAGTTTAGTTTCCTCCCTGCTTCTATCCCTTTCCATCCCTCCGTCGCTGTTACATCCTCCTTCTTTCCCCTGAGTCATCCTCTTTCTTCCTTCATCCCTCCTTTCTCTCGATGAAGAGGAGCTACAGAGGGATAAGGGGGGAATGATGGAGGCACAGAGAACAGACTGATGTGTGTAGGAGGAAGAGTGTGCATGTGTGTCACCATGACAGCAGGGAGTCCCTCAGCCAATCAGCATGAGGATCAGACTGAAAGGATTTCAAATATTTACGCAGGTAGTAAAAGAGACGCGGCAGCATCTGTCCATCCAGACCTTCACCATCTTCCTCCTCCTCCCCCAGCTATCGTCTTCACCTCCATCACCTTTTCAGCCTCCCCCCTCATCGTTTCTCTTCCTCCACTGGATTTTCCTTCCTTTCTTTACTTTCTCGTGTCTGCTTTGATGATTCATTTCTTTCTCAAATGTATTCGATTCAGTCTTATTTCTCTTTCTGAACACACACACACACACACACACACACACACACACACACACACACACACACACACATATCACAAGCATTGTCTGAATGAATAAACTTTTTTCATTTACACTAGCAGAAACTTATTTTCATTCTCCTCGCAGTGAGAGCTCCGCTCCTCTTTCTTCTTCGTTGGTTTCTTCTCCCTCTGCAGCTGTTTTTCTTTTGTCTTCTTCGCGACTCATTGCACACAGTGTGTGTGTGTGTGTGTGTGTGTGTGTGTGTGTGTGTGTGTGTGTGTGTGTGTGTGTGTGTGTGGCTTCTCTCCCCATTACACACTTAATGGTCTTTGCAGTGCCTCCTGCTTGCCTCCGTCTGTTTTCAGCTTTAATGTGAGGCTGTGAGTGAGAGCCTTCACATTCACTCTTCAGCAGTTTTTATTTCTCAGCCTCTGACTGAACGATGATCCACAGTCACACTGTGTGCACAGCACACCTGGCTCTCACTGTTGGATGGTGTTGTTGAGTCTCCACAAGCAGCAGCAGAAGGTTTCAGAGTGTTCTTCTGAGCTTTATCACAAGCAGCAGCCCGCAGCCTCACATGTGTCCTCCTCAGGGGCGTGAAGTGAACTTTCTGCTGAGCGCAGCAAGAAACCAATCACACCGACAGCTTTTAGTACTCCTGGTTGTTGCAGATATCTGCTCCTGTATCTGCTGCAGGCGTGGGGGGGAGGAATCAGGCTGTTTTTTTTAATCTAATCAACAAATAAAAAATGATAAGTTCAGTTTTTGTCAAATTAAAGTCAGCGTGAGAACATCAGCAGATAAAATCTGGTTAATTGATCTTCACTGCAGAGCTTTTCTCTGGTCCTTCACACCAGCTCACCGTCTGACAACCATATTTGTAGTTCGAGATCTACTGACCAATGATTTTGAAATGGCTCTGCTGCATGCTGGTAAACAGCCTGAGCACAGAGCAAATGAAGGAGGGCTTTCGGTAAATCGCAGTCTGAAAACCATCGACTATCATTTTTGGATCCATCCATCCTATTCAAGTTGTCACAGATCCGGCGGCAGGGTACACCTGGACAGGTCTATCCCAGCGCTCCGTTTCTTGATTTCCTTCCTGAATTTCTTGTGGCATTCACTCTGATTAATGCTGTGGGACTTACACTTTGGCACCAGTTTTATTTATTTATTTGATGGAAGTCAGGCGCCGCTTTGCTCAGTCAAACAGAGACCACTCACATTCATTTTTGACTTATTGGCTGACCTGAGATCTGTCTGTAGGCAGAGCTTCAGTAGCTGTTTATCAGTAGCTATATTATTTATATACAGTGATGAGTGGCCTGTTTCACAGTCATGTGGTGTAGATTTCAGGGAGACACTTGGGACTCGTACCCACTGATATTTACAGCACACGCATTCGCCCACCCACTCCCCTCCTTACGCTGCAAAAAAACAAACTCCAAGTGCATGACTTATGTATGCAAACATGTTCCTTCACATACGCGAAGACGTCTCTGTCATAAACCGATGTAACAAACGTGCAAAATGAAAATTCCTCGTTTGATTTGTTTGTTGTTTGAGCTGAGAGGAATCTCACACATGTCGGCAGTAATTCGCTGTGTAGTGTTTGAGGGGGTGAAGCTGATGATCTGTCAGTGACTCATTTGTAACATTTATACCAGAAATGCAAATATGAAACCCACGGCTGTGTGTGACAGAAAATACGTAAAAAGATTACCATGGTAACCAGCTCTGTCTGACACGGCTGTGCTGTCTCATTAATAGTTTTTTTTCTTTGCCAGAAATGTCAGGTTGTTCAAGTTCATAAAGACGGACGCGGCCGGGGACGAAAAACAGTGCTGTAAAAACTCTAAAGTAACAAAGGGTGGAAGAGAGGAAGGGGCGGGGTCCAAAATGCACCCAAAACAACAGAGACTCACTGTGAGATCGACACTGTAAGATGTACTGTAACCACACACCAGCAGGGCGAGGGACAACAATGAAGTCTGTCAAGGCAATATTCAAGACAGGAAGAGAAAAAAGGCAGGAAGTGAAAACTGAGAAAGCCAAAAAGGACCTGACCTTCAAAATAAAAGAGAAATGAGACTCAAAAGCAGAGAGGGGAACACATTTATCAACTCAAAAGCTTCTTTTCCATTAAGAACTTGGGATTCCTGTCCTTCATTTTGTGGAATTTTCCATTCTCGCCATAACTGAGAGTTTTGCTTCTGGGGTCCTTTATTGATGACACACCTGTAGAAAAGAGTCAGTGTGTTCATGGACGTTTAGGTTAAATGTGACCACGCCTGGAGAATACAGAGATTTAGGTTTCTGTGAAAGGAGAGCACTTTTTAGCTTTTATATCTTCTAAATTATTAAATTGTTATTTCCTTAAAACTATTTGAAATTTCAGACTTTTTGTGGAAAAATGTGGATCCAGCGTGTGACACCACACAGCACTCATTCGTTCATGAACTGAAGCCTTGAAGCCACGCTCATGGACGTTCATGTGTGGCTCAGAATCATGCCTGAACCGCCTCCTATGATTGGCTGATACCTGTGTCTTCCTCTGCAGGTATATTTGGCAGCACTCACTTGGACCCCAGCCTCCTCCCCTCACCCAAACCCATCGCCGACAGCAACCCTGGTTACCACAGCAACAGCACAAGTGACCCCTACCCCTCCTCCTCATTCACGGTGGAAACCGTCACGTATTCACCGCAGAACCGCAGTGAGAGCACACCTGCCGCCACCGGCGTTCCCCCGGTGACCTCTTCTCAGGCTCCGCCCACTCAGCCATACACAACGCCCCCTGATTGGCTTGCCTCTGTGACATCGCTGAGCACCGCTTGGCCGAGCAGCACCGCCTCTGCGCCCAACACAGGTATCAGGTGTGAGCAGGAAAGATGGAAGCAGCAGGGGGTTGTGGGAAACGTACGCAGCTTTTAAAAGACCTGAGTAATGCCAAGGCTAAGGATGAACTACAAATCCCACAGTCCTCTGCAGTCTGTGTCCTTCCTGCTATCCGTCTGTCTTTTGCTGTTGTTGTGTCCTTTCCCGTCAAACAGTAAAATCTTATTAGGCTCCATTAGTGTCGACTGGACGAGTTGATACCTGAGAGTAGCTGCAGAGGATGAGCTGCATTCAGATCTGCTGTCCTCTACTCTCCTCTACTGACCTGATGGGCTGAGCGAGAGTGTGTGTGCGCATCTGTGCTGATAAATCGTTTGTTGGGTTGCTATTTTAAAATTCCCCTCGTCTCCGTCTCTCTCTGTTCCTCTGCTGTCCTTCAGTGTCTCTCTGTCTGTTCCCATGTATTAATGTGCAGTCGAGGTGAATGCTAATGAGCCTCAGTCTGTCCTGCGCTCTGATTGGACACTGGACACTCACCAGATTTGGTGGACGTTTGACCTCCTGCCCAGTTCGGCCACCTTGTTAAAAAAGGTCACGCTCAGTGATTAACTGACTCTCTGATGACTTAGATTTCTCCCACTGAGACAAGTTAGGCCCTGAAGGTGTCGGTGGTGTCACCTGGCTGTTTGTCCTGCTAATGCTAGCTACAAGTGTCTTCTTAAAGCACTGACATTGATACATCCAACTGTGGACAATCCAACCAATTACAGGCGAGGTTTAAACACAGAAAGACCTCAATTTACTGTCATTTGTTATTAGTTATTTGTTATCTTTCTAAGTTATTTGCCCCTAAAAATCTCAGAAGGATGGTCTTACTTATCCTGGAAGGCATTAGTTTGGCCTGTAAGCATCCATCCATCTAGACGGCCATTCCTTTGTCCATCCATTTTCTTTTGGGGATCTGTGGCAGCAGCTTATTCTAGTCATTCTTTAAGCTAGCAAAGTTTTCCAGTTACTATATAATCTCTGAGTGTCCCCAAAAACCTCTAAAGGACATCCTGATCAGATGCCAAAACTGATTGGCTGGCTCCTCCGAAGGAGCAGCAGCTCAGCTCACCAGATGTTTGCACTTCTTACTTTGTCCCTAACAGTCAGTCTGGGAACCTCCCTGATGGTTCAGTCACTTCCTGTTTTTGGTTGCTATCCTCTCCTCACCCCAACTGGTCATAGCAGATAGCTGCTCCTCTGAGCCTGGTTCTACCGGAGGTTCCTTCCTGTTATAAGGGAGTTTTTCCTTCCCACCAAGTGCTTGCTCAGAGGGGGTCGTCTGATTGTTGGGGTTTTTTCTCTATGTTGCTTTGAGGTGGCTGTGATGTGGAGCTACATAAATTAAACTGAATTGACTGCTCGTGACCACAGGTGAGGGTTAGATTATAGATTGACCATTATGACGAAAGATTGTTTTTCTTTTATTATAACCATAGTATTTAAAAATAAACACTGACATTCCATGAAAATCATGCAGGTGAAAAATACCAGTACAGTTTTGGTTAGATCAAACACGTATTAAGCACAGGTGCTCCCATTGGCTTTAGGTCAATCCAACCCACTGGCACAGTCAAAAGAATTCAACAGTTCCCGAATGCAAATGTTTCTGCATAGATTTTTCAGTGATATTAGGGTTATTATGGTAATCCCAAGTAGGGCGTCACATCCAACTCTTGGCAAATAACCCAGAGAACAAAAGCAAACAGCAAAACAAAACAATAAACAGACAGTAAAAACTCAAATGTCTGAGAAAATGTCTGTTTCCTGTAGAGCTCCATCACACTCCCTCACTTCCAACCCAACCTTTGACTGCTGCAGCACCATGCCTGGGATACTGTGATGACCCGAACTTCACTGCTTTCAGGAACCATTGGAATTCTTTCAATTGACCAAATGGTTCAGGAGTTACGGGAGCTACAGGTGTAAAAAATATAAACCACCCGTCTGACAGGTTAGATATCAGTGGATTCAAATCTGATAACTGTGAGTTTCACCTGCTGGTTTTGGTCTCAGTGTTGTTTGCCATCATTTTCACAAGATCAGCAAACTTTAGCCACCAGACGCTGCTGGTGCAATTACCTCCAGAGCAGCCATCAAAATTCTCCAGAAGACTCCAACAGAACAAACACAATCCAAGGGACCAGTTCAGGGACTCCTACTGCTCAACGTCCACCAAACACATCACGCCATGGGCAACAATGAAGTGAAATATCACTAATAAAACAAAGATCTGTGAAAACCAAACATGCGCCAAAAAGTTGTTGTTGAGAAGCATAAAATATTAGAAACTATAACATAAGCATGTTTTATAACGAGGCTGTAATGACGACAGCAGCCTGCAGGGGCAGCGTTCAGGGCTTGATCCTCGTGACCAGCTGTCTCTGTGCAGGTAGCTGTCAGCTGATCGTGGAGCCTCAGTGTCACATGTTGCCCTACAATCAGACGTGGCTGTCCTCCTCCGTCGCCGTGGTGAAGAGCTCAGAGGTGGACATGTTGCTAAGGTAACAGTTACTTCCACTAAAAGTCATTGAATTGTCTACAGACAGCTATTTCATACTGAAAAGCAGACAACACAATTAAAGGCATCACCTCAGGTTGTGTCATGTCAGGGTTTCGTTACTTTTAACATTTAAATGATCCAATCGCTTCATCAGTGAATCGACGAGTAGATGAGTGTTGGCTGAGCTCCCGGCGGTGACTGAACGCCAGCGTGTGTGTTTCAGGTTCTTCAGCTACCTCAGCAGACTCTCATGCTACAGACACATCATGCTCTTTGGCTGCTCGCTGGCTCTGCCCGAGTGCATCGCAGCTGACGGCGCACACAACAGGTAACACACACACAAACCTACAGTCAGCTGTTTCCATACACAGACCTTACTTGGCCTATTTCACAGCCTCTCCAGTTTCCATATAAGCAGCTCGTTGCTGTGGAGTCGTCAGTGTCGACCTTTCTGGACTTGACCTGGGATTGAAGATTGATTGAGGAATCTGATATGAGCTGGAGGGCCGCTCTGACCAGACGACAAACATAAAAAACTAAAAAATATAGAAACTATTTATATTAAGAGAAAGGTGGTGAGAAAAAACAAGTGCACTGTGCAAGCTGTTTATTTGCTGTCTGCTTCTTCTCCATCCACAACATGTCCACCTATTTTAATCTGTCCAGAACTGAAGCTGATGTTTGCTCCTTTACTTGTTACCACAGATTGTCCCTTATATTATCTGTAAGCTTCTTTGCTGTGACTAGAAAAGCAGCTTGAACCCTGAGTGGAACTTTGAGAAGATTGAAATATGGTCTTATCTGTTTCTCAGATATCACAGTCGTCTCTGGACACTCATAAAACTCATAATTAGACAATTAGAGCTCGGTGTTAGGTTGCTGTTTGATCGCAGTGTCAAATGTTCTCATCAGCAACACTATCCAGCTGCTCTGCTGCTCAGGGTGAGGGGAGATCCCAGGGCATTAATAAACCGTCAGCGCGCTGCACGCTCAAACAGGTGGTGCCCTTATTATGTCTCAGTTTCAGCTTTTAGCACAGTGCCAGAGGCTCCAGGTGCAAACTCGGTCCAGAGTGAAACAGCCTTTCTTCTTCCCTGTCCTCGTTCCCTAGCATGATGCTTTGTTCAAACAGCACGACAGCATGTTGGATTAGTTTCAGCGAATGTCCAGCTGCTGCTGACAACAACCAAACCATAGGAGGAAGCTACTGATATCA